ACATCTTTCATCATTTTTTGAGGAGGTTCCATCTGTTTGATAGCCTGAACCTTGTTCGGGTTCACCTCGATTCCTCTCTTGGAGACCACAGACCCTAGGAATTTACTTGACTCTATGCTGAACATGTACTTAAAGGGGTTTGGTTTCATCTGTGCTCAGCGTAGATTTTGAAACATTTTGTTTAGGTTGTCAATGTGGTCTTCAGCTCACAAACTGGTGACGATCATGTCATTGACATATACTTTGATGTTTTGTCAATCTAGAGTTTAAAAACGAGCTGAACTAATTTCTGATACGTAGCACATCCATTTTTCAATCCGAACGGCATCATGATATAAGAATAGATGGCGTCCTTAGCATAAAATGTTGTCTTTTCCTGATCGTTTAATCATAATTGGACTTGATGATATCCTGAGCTCACATCTAAGAAACTCATTTGCTCATGACCAACTGTTCGTTTGACCAACTTCCCAACGTTGGACAATAGGTGTGGGTCTTTAGGACATGCATCATTCAAATTCGTGAAATCAATGAACATTCTCCATTTCCTGTTAGACTTTTTGACGAGCACAGGATTGGATACCCACTTCACATATTCCACCTTTCTAATGAAACCCGTTTACAACAACTTTTGTACCTCTTCGTCTATAATGGCCTGCTTTTTCAAACTAAAAAGGTGGCATTTTTTAACCACTAGCCTCTTAGTAGGATATGTACTAAGCTTGTGGACTACAACCTTGTTGGGATGCTAGGCATTTCGTCCGTCGTCCAAGCAAAGATGTCCTTGTTGGATTTTAAAAATTCCAAGAGCTCTTTCCTCTCCTCGACTGCGAGTCTAGTTTCGATTTTTACAGTTTTTTCTAGCTCGTTTAGGTTTAGGGGAATTATCTCCACAGCATCTACTGGCTCAACCTTTTATCCCACATTTTCAAGTCTATGATCTGTGTCAGAGATGCTCATCGTTTGCTGGCTTGTTTGGTTGGTTTAGTTGTGGAACTTGAAAGGATGAAGCTTTAGGTGTTGTAGTGAGCTCAACCTTCTTGAACGTGTCTTGATAACAAGTTCTTACCATCTTCTAGTTTTCCTTCAGCACTCTTATCCCATGGGGCGTTGGGAATTTCATTCATCGGTATGGTTGAGAGATGGCAGCCTTTAACTCACATAGTATGGCTCTTCCAATTATGGCTTTAGAGGTCAATTCTATCTTAACTACAAGGAAATTCACTGATGCCATTCTAAATCAAGGCTTATTGCCCACATAAATGGGGAGGGTCACCACCCCTTCAACCAAAACGGGCTAATTATCAAACCCATATATGGGTCCTTCATATTTTTTCAAAGAAGTCAGGTTCAATTGCATTTAGAAACAGCTCTAATACAAGATGTTTGAGGAACTGCCCCTATCAATAAAGACGTTATTGACATTGTGATTGCCTATGTAGATAGTGGCTACAAACAAATTGGCATGAGGCATGATAATGTCAGGTTCTCCCTTCGGTCTTTATAATCCGAAGGATTAAATGTGATTGATGCATTCTCCCACTCTGCTTCCTTAAATAGTCATTTCAAAGGCCATTTCTTATTTAGTCATTATTTGACAAGCATAGGCTTTACGACCACAGGCGCTCTGTCCCCTTACATGCATTCCACTTGAGATCATGTTGATCATGCCTGAGGGTGGAGGGATTCTAGTATAAGCTATTTCCTTGTTATCCTTTTGGCTCTAGATGGTAGCCCTCAATCTTTGTCCTCTTCTTGCACCTTGACACCCTCTATAACCTCTGTTGAGTTAAGGACTAATTGATTCCCTTGATAAGTGAATAGACTATTGTCGACCTTGGATCCCTACACATGAGATCGGTTGTAATCTTGTACATAATGAGTTTGACTAAGTTAATGAGGAAAAGATTTCTGAATGTACTCTTTCAGTTTTCCATTCCGAGTAAAAAATTCCAACTAGTCCTTCAAGCTCTAACAGTCTTCCATATGATGGCCATATCCACGATGGTAATCATAGTATTCACTAATGTTCATTCACATTGGATCATAAGGGGAGTGGTCTCTTGATCCATTGTTGAATCTATGTTAAGATTTGGGATCTTGACGAGCTCAGCAGGGTGTAGTTTGCATACTTTGGAAAGTCAACAGGTTTTCCTCTCTGATCGGCCACTTTTTGCTTTTTCTTTTCTTCCCTTCCTTCTTGTTACTGGTGCTCTTTATCCTACTTGTCATCAGCTCACCTTTTGGATGATTGAAAGTTGTCCAACAAGATGATGCTTACTAACTTGTCATTCACCGCATGCCACAATTTTGGTGAATTTTCCAACAAGTCATCTAGAAACCAACCAGGTTTGAGGCCATGCAACAAGGTGAGCAAGCAAATCATGTCAGGGAGATTATCAATGTCTAGGGTGGCCTTGTTAAATCGCTGCATGTAATCTCTCAACGACTCTCCCTCTTTCTAGTGGACTTACATTAGCTCGACGGTTGTGCGTTTTATTTCTCGTTGGCTCACAAACTTGTTGGAGAACAAAGTCACGAGTTGAGAATAAGAGGTGATGGAATGCTTGGGGAATTTGTGGTACCATCTTCTAGTAGTCGACTTTAAAGTCGTCAGGAATACTTTGCACATCATGGCATCTATTGCATTTTGTATCTTTATGATGGCTTGGTAGGTATGTAGATGCTCATTAAGGTCATCGGAGCCATCATATGTTTCTAAATAAGGAATCTTGAACCCCTCTTGCTAAGGTTCTACAGTGATGGACAGGCTAAGAAGAGCGTTGTCTAGGTCAGGAGCTTACTATCGCGACCTGGTACTTTTCAGCTCGTCAATGGATTTCTATATACCTTCAAGCTACTTTTTGAGCTTGGTATTCTTCTTTAACAACTCTTCATTACGTTTTTGGTGAGCTAGGTGGAGGGTTCAGTTTCTCGCTTTCTTTGGGTTTGGTTGGTACTACACGTTGCTTAAAGTAAGGGAATTACGGGTAAGACCGCCTGCAGGTTGTCCACCCTTACTCAACAAAGGAATCAAAGGATCATCAAGAATTAAACGAGAAAGGATCTTTCCCATTGCCATCTTTAAAATCCTAGTCCTTTCTTCCTACTCAAATGTCCAAGTGGACTCCATGTTCCTCTCAAGTCTAGATGTATTACGGGTAGGATATCTGGGATGGATCTTTTTAGGAGTTCGATATTGCTCTTCGAGCTAAGATGTGTACCCAGTGGGTGTTCGTTTGTCGTTGGAATTATCAAACCATTCTCCCATTGCTCCTTCTATGAAAAGGTTTCCCAACATTAGTCGAAACTCATTGAAATTAAATTCCGAAAGCTGGTTATTGTCATGAGCGCTCGTTCTATCCGCCTAAGGGGGATGGTTTCTAGTGAACATACACACCATGTTTGCTTTTAGCTTGTGAACAGTATGACTTTCTCGTTCAAGTTTCCCATAGACGACACCTAATGTTTGGGCAACTTTTCAAACCTCTACTGTATAGATCTCCAACTGCTTCAACACTTGAAATACCCAAGGATATTTCCTCGATGAGACACTCCAATGCCCAAGTCAGTAATATTCTACTCTTAGAGCAAGAAGCTCCCAAGAAGAGTAATTATAGAGAGTGAAGTGTAATGGAGTTCATACCTTGGATGGGGGTAGATGAGGATATTTATAGCCTCCATTAAGGACAGAATGTTCCACATGTCTTCCCCCAGTTAACCCAGATGTAATTACTCACATAGGCACATCCCTATGAGCGTGTCCACATTTTCAACTGCCTTTGGGCTCTCCTTGGCTCAGTGGGCCTATATACACAAATGGACCTACCAACAGGGCTCATTGTGACTGTTGGGCCTATTCCCCAACAGTATTATACAATTTGAAACCAAGGACAAGTACTATTTCTTTTTCACATGAATGAAATCAAAGACCTGATTCCAAGATCAACTCTCCATGAGATGCTACATCAGTAAATCTAATAAATGTGGAAAGGTCATCAAGTAAACAACTAATACAAAAAGGAAGCATGTACCCATTATGTCCACCATGTCCACCTTTTGGCAGTAATCGCAATTTGGCAAAAGGCAAATCTAGCTAGGTCATAAAAAATATGTAGAAGAAACTAGAAGTTTGGAGCTGATGCAAAGAAGTAGCATCAAAGTGTGGAAGGAATAGTAGCATATTACTACTAGTACTTGCTTCAAAGGAATCTCGTAATAAGAAACAATGGTACCAACCTTCAAAATGCATCAAGAGCTTAAAAAATATATATAATAATTGTTTGTTAAAGTCTTAATTTTTTTTAAGGAATTTTTTTGGTTTTTTATGAGTTTTGTGTCAATTTATATTTGATTTTGAGTGTGTATTACTTCATTTATGAGAAAATAAGAGAAGGGAAAGGAAATTGAGACAAATCAATATAAAATTAAAAATGAAGTGATATTTGATGATAGTATTGATTTCAATGAATATATATTGAAAGTTTTTAATAGTCTTTAATTTTAAATGCTGTAATGGAGTTTGAGATTTTAAGTAGGTAGGGCTAAGTGATTAAGTTGATGATGCCTGCGGAGGTACTAATGATTTTCCTTTTTCTTTTTTTTTTCTTTTTTTTTTTTGGGAATCGTGAGAATGTGGGTGAGATCATGATGATTCTATTTACTAGAAAAGTGGGGATTGCAAACGAAAAGAAGAAAAAAAATTTAGAGAAGCACTTGATATATAAAGAATAATTCAAGGATGTAAATGTTAAATTAAAAGTTTAAAGGACGGAATTTGATTCTTTTCAAAAGTATAAGGGGTCCTAACTCCATACGACACATTGGTTTCCATATATGGTGGTCGTATCAATGAAACTAAATCAATACAATTTAGACTTAGCCATTAACAGCGAAAATGGACATGATCAAAGACCAAATCATCTCCACCGAAATCATCAAACCTTCCCCTTCAACCCCACCCCACGTAGAAACTTTCAATCTCTCTCTTTTTGATCAGTAAGCTCCTCCAGTTTACGTCCCAATTCTTCTTTTATACTCTCCTACTGATGATCTCAAAAATCATAGGAAAAGATGGTCAGATCACCTCAAGAAATCACTCTCAAAACATTAGCCCACTTCTATTCATTTGCCAGACAGATCAACAAGGATGATGCCTTCACAATTGACTGCAACGATCGTGGTGCCACCTACGTTGAAGCTCAAATAGAAGCTGACATGTCTGATGTGGTTCTTAACGAACCAGAGATTGATATGCTGAAAAGGCTACTTGTGATCCACTTGAAAAGTTTGCTGATCCTAGTAGTCGGGTAATCCTAGCAGTTCAGGTTAATTACTTTGCTTGTGGTGGCATGGCCATTGGTGTATGCATTAGTCATGCAATTGCGGATGCGTCTGCTATAGCGAGCTTTGTTAAACGCTGGGCAGCAACTGCTTCTGGAATAAATGATATTGACGTTTATGGTGTGATTTACGATTGCACCTCTCTCTTCCCTCCGCAAGATTCAACAGATTTACAACAGCTCATGGAAAATAGAATGAAAATGCGGCAAGCCAATTGTGTAATGAAAAGGTTTTTGTTTGATGGTTCGAAGATAGCCGCTTTAAGAAACAAAATCAGCATGGAGGAGAAAGAATATTTTTTCCGTCCCACGCGCGTGGAGGCTGTCTCTGCCCTCATATGGGGCGCTGCGATGGCTATGGAGAAGACTGGAAATATTCCAACGCATGTGGTAGTATTTCCAGTGAACCTGAGGAAGATAATGAATCCGGTGTTACCTGAATTGTGCATTGGAAACATCTACCAAGCTACCATGGCAACTTCGATGATGGAGAAGAACGTAAAACACAGCAGTCTAGCTGGAAAAATTCATGAGTCAGTAAAAAGGATGAAAGAGGAGTATGTGAGGAAGCGTGGTGAATACTTAAACATGATGATCAGAAAAAGTAATACCGATGAACAGAAGAATGGTTTGGAAGCAATGGTGCCCTTTGCTTTCAGTAGTTGGTGTCGATTTCCATTTTATGAAACAGAATTTGGATGAGGAGAGCCCGTTTGGGTGGGGACTGCCCTGAGGATGAACAAGCTTGCCATTTTGTTAGATGCTAGTGACGGTCAGGGAATCGAAGCATGGATAGGTTTAACAGAGGAAGATATGACAAAACTTGAACAAGACCTCGAAATCCTTGCATATGCTTCTTTCAGGCCAAGCGTAAGCTAATTAATCAATTTGCAATAATCTGTTTCTTCATTGTTTAATGTACGTATTAGTTTGTTCCTTCATATGGGGCATCTGATGTGGGTTAATTAATTTTTTTTATTTTTTGTACTAATGTTTCAGTATTCGGTAACCATTTTCGGTCTCGACTAATCCGTAATCAAGTTGGATCAGATCTCATTAAGGAGAAACTTTCTCGTTATTTGTTTCTTCATTCATAAAACTCGAATTCGAATTCGAACTCGAACCCAAACTCGAACTCGAAACCTTAAGAAGAATCAAACTCTTTTTACTCAAATTAATAAGTTGTTGGTTATGAGTTAATTAATTGTGACGGTTGAGTTAATGTTGGAACATAAAAAAAAAAAAAAAAAAAAAAAAAAAA